CTGGGAAAGATTGAGGGCAGGAGGAGAAGGAGATGACAGAGGATGAGATGGTTAGATGGCATCACCGACTCAATGGGCATGAGTTTGAGTAAACTCCCGGAGTTGGTGATGGACAGGGAGGCCTGGCGTAGTGCTGTTCATGGGGTCGGAAAGAGTCAGACACGACTGAGTGACTGAACTGAACTGAACTGAAAGGTGGAAAAGCACCCAGTCATTCATAAAGCAGAGCAAAGTTTCTTGGATAAGAAACACACCATAGTTGAAAATAAATAGAAAGTCCTTGTGTCTTGACCATGGAGCAAAATGGAGAATGTGATAGAAAATGAAAAATCCTTAGTTAAAGCAGGTAAGTCTTGTATCCCTGGTGAGGGTTTAGAATATAGTCTATGTTAATAGAGAAAACACTAGAGGCTTTGAAAGAGTCAAATGATATGATTTGAGTAACACTTGATTTAAAAACGTGACTGTTACTGCTGGGTGGATAATGTGTGTGGAGGAGAGTTACTGTGGGGTAATTTTCTGTATATGCTATATGACTAATAACACATACGAGCATGTCATTTTCCTGCCTATCAAGTTATAATTGTTTATTTATAGTTCTCCAAAGTTAGGCAGTAAACTTCTAGAAGTGATGCCCTCTTAGTCTCTGTCATGCATTTGATGTATGTTCAATCACTGCCTGATTAATTAATAAAGTTAAACTTTTGATTGACTATGCTTGGGCTCTCATTATTATCTAAAATGACACCTGGGGCAGAAATTCATATTGCTCTTATTTGATTCTTCTAAACTTTGCTTCTAGGAATTCAAGTGTCACTTATAAGTGACCTGACTGAGGGTGGATGCTTGATATGTATTGGATGAAAATATGTCATATCTTTATCTCCAGTTTTCAATTCTCCCATGAAGTTTTATACACCATCTTTGTCTGCCCAGTGTTCATAATTAGATATTTTGTCATTTTTAACATTCAAAATTAACGTAACTGAATTGTCTTTTTTTATGTCTTTCCCCTCTTAAAATATAAAGCAGAGCTCTACATAACAAACAAACAATAATGGATCATCTTCTCTTCTAAGGTTTTCCTGTTCTCTTTTCATTTAGTAAAATAAACCAGAAACCCTGGATTCCTCTTTTCTTCATTTCCATCCTTGGAAAAGTCTGTCTTTTCAAATCTATAATAAAATTTTACTCTAAATCCTCTTTTTTCTCACTATTGCTTTTTATTTGTACTGTCATGAACTAAGATTTCCTGAGTGGTGTTCTCCCATTTTTTTTCCTCTTTCTAATGTGGAGCATACACTCTGTCCATATTATCATTGTAAAAATAATACTTTCATTCCATCCTTCCCTGATCAAAAAGTTGTTTGTGGTTTCCAATGCTTAGGGGCCCTGTTCAACCTCTGAAATTTAGATAATCTTTCCAGTCTGTCTTTTAAAATGCCTGTAATCCTTTTCAATTTTATCAACATTTGGCTGTAGATAACTACTTTTTCTAGCTTTCAAAAAACATACCTATTTATTTTTGAGTGTTTTTCCATAGATTTGGAGGATTTTACCTTGTGTATAAAAATTGATGAAATTATTTTTCTAGAACTTATTTAGATTAAATTTTCAGGTCTCCTTTTTTACGATACAAAGATCAGTTTTTCCCAATCTTAGGTGCACTTTGGAATTACCTTGGAAATGTTAAAAATACCTTTACTTAGACCCACCCTACCAAATAAATCCAAATTTTTGTGTGTGCCTTGAAAAAACAGACATTTAACAGGGTTATTTAAATGGGCAGTCAGTGTTGATGGTGAGATTGGCAAATATTCAACAACCATCAAAATACTTATTTTTGCTACCAGAGAGAATACTTTGCTATACTTGGCAACTGTATGTTGTGAATGCAAATAACTTGGTTATATAGGATCTTGTTTACCAAATACTCTTAAAGTAACCCCTGTGTGCCAGGGTTTGTTACTGGATGATTTAGAGGTCTGGCATCTGGGCTACAATAACTTAACTATATCAGTTCTTTTAGATATTGTGATTTTAGAGACAACAATTTTTTAAAGGGTTGAGATCATTATGAGGCCATTTTTTCAACAGCTGAAAGTTGCCCTAAAGAGGTTAAGTGGCTAATGTCATGAAGCTAGCAGTTGTTACAGCCGGGACCCTGACTTAGGATGCAGTGTTTCTGGCACTAGAATCTCGTCTGTTAACTAGAACTCTCTGAGTCATCCTCAACTATTTCCTGAAGTCAAAATTCTACTAATGTCAAAGTTTGTGGTTTTTGGGGCCCCAATGAATCAAAATTTCAAAACTTTTTCTTAGCTTTTGAATTTTCCAGGCTATTGGTAACCCGTGTCACCACACTAGCAGCCTACCCAGTATTTCCTGCCATCACCTTTCCACAAGCCAAGAGACATGGCTCCAGGGTCCTCTGTCTTCAGTTTTCCTTCCTCTCTTTGTTAAGTAGTCCCAGGTGAATTTTTAAATATGTTAACCTATTTTTCATTTCGTTTTTAAAGTGAAAGTCTTGTCTTTAGCATTTTTTGCTATGTTTCTTTTAATTGAAGTATAATGGATATAAATACTATAGAACTTACAGATGTACAGTATTGTGATTCATACTTTTTAAAAAATATTATATTAACTGTATTCCCTGTGTTGCACAATATAACCTTGTAGCTTATCTTATACATAAAAATTTGTGCCTCTTAATCTACTCCTTAAGTTCCTATCTTTTTGCTTCATGTCGGGCCAATTCTGTTTGTAGGATCTCGGCTTTTTTCATTTTCTTTCTCCTAATTTTCAGATTCACACCGACTTTACTAGAAACTGACTTATAAGCATTTATATATTTAAACATAAAGAGCTATGAGTTTGCCAAAAGTTTCATTCACTGCTCAAATATCATCTATCTTTCCATGTCTGAGTAGGGTGATTTAACTAAGGAGTTATTCTCCATCAACTTGATATCTAACTTCAATCTGAATTCCGCCTGTTGCCTCTGGGGCCTCCCCAAGAGGTTTCTTTGTTCCAATGCTTGGAACCTTTGAATGTTACCTTATTTGGCAAAAGAGGAAAAAAAAAAAAGCATCTTTGAGAGATGTGGTTAAGTTTAGAGTTCAAAAATGGAGAGATTATACTGTATTACCTAGGTGGGCCCTGAATGCAGTCTTTAGTTGTGTCTGACTCTTTGTGATCCCGTGGATTGTAGCCTGCGAAGCTCCTCTGTCCATTGATTTTTCCAGGCAAGAATACTGGAGTGAGTTGACATTTCCTCCTCCAGGGGATCTTCCTGACCCAGGGACTGAACTTGTGTTTCCTGCGTGTCCTGCATTGGCAGACAGATTCTTTGCCATTGCGCCACCTGGGAAGCCCCAAATGCAATCACATATACCTTTTAAAGATAAGATTTGAAAACATATATGGGAGAAAATACTGTAAAAAATATAATCAGACAGAGACTTGATGCTTTATTCCTTGAAGATTAGAATGATGCAGCCGCAAGTTAAGAGATGCTAATAGCTACAGAAAGAAACTGGGAGGGCCACAGCTCCCCCAAAGCCTATCAAGGCACCACTGACCCTGTGACATATTAGTTTCAGCCCAGTCAACTTGATTTTGGACGGCCTGAAATGTGAGGGAATGAATTATTATTTATTTAAGCCACCAACTTTGTAATTTGTTACAATAACCAAAAGAAATTAGCACACTTATCATGCTTAACTTCAGGTTAGTTTGTATTTTCTAATTTCCAGTAAAGTTCTAATTCCATGTTTCCTTGGTATGCTTTCTCATTCTGCCTCTGATACATTGCAGCTGTGTAATCTTCGCAAATCATTTATCTTCTCTGTTATTCAGTTGCCTAAGATTTAAGTGGGAATAATTGTATGTATTTGCAGGCTTATTATAAGGGCTTAATAAACTTATATTGTTAGGAGCTTAGAACAGTGCCTAGCACTGCAAAGTTCTATGTAAATTGATGTTAGATAAATGTTTAAAAAGCAGGTGAAACATTTTAGGGGAAGGGAAATGGGGAGATAGCCATGGAATGATGCTTGTCTCCTTTTTATGTTTTGCTGAAAGTTTTATTTTTGTTTTACGTTCAAAGGATTTGTTAACTAAAGAAACCACTCATCACACACAATAAGCAATTTTAATATTTAATAGAAGATTATTGGACTTAATTTAAATACACAGTCATTACAAGTAAAGAAACAGATGCAACAGAGAAAAGTAATAGCACATACATCACCAAATGGAGCCGAATGACGTACAGAGTTAAACAGCACTGGGAAGTCCCTTGTTAACAGCAATCTGAAGTCCCAATTGGGAAAGGGTCCCAGGCAGTGCATCCATCCCATGGGTGAGGCTTCAGATGGCAATTTCAAGGGCTCCCACTTATTATCCCAGGCCAGAAAGTGATGTCTTTACCAGATTGTGCACAAAAATGCAGCTCTGGTTTTACTTTAATCTTTTTAAAATACTGTGTTTCACTCCGTAAGTCAAAGGATTTCATTAGACCCCTGGGGCATTGGCCAGACCCTCAGGGACTCAAGAATTTCAAGACCCATTCCCTTTCTTAACTAAAGTACCACTTGACTTGCTGTGCTTACAGACAGGCATGGAGCCCAGACAGTGTCCAGACAGGTCAGAAGCAAGTCAGCTCTCCTACTTCTGAAATTTGAACAAGACTTCCTCCATTTTAATTTCCCTAACAAACTACTTTCTGTTTACTTTCAGAAGAAACAAATTGGAAACAAAAAATAAAAAATTCTATTTGTGTTATATTTTTTATATAGGGTTTATTCAAAAGAAAAGCACACATTGCCAACAGATGTTTAAATCTCTGACAATTATTATTTACATAGTTAAGAAGTAACCTTTTAAAATTGTGAATTGGAAAAAAAAATACACCATAAATATCATTTCCATATAAATTAAATCCAATGAAAAAATATAACAAACAAACCTATATGGTGAGACTGATTATTTAAGTGTTTTTTATTGAAATATATTTTTAATATAACAGAATGGTAATCTTTGAAAATAAAATAACTTTTTTTTTAGCTTTCACTGATTCTTGTTCCAGTTATTCCTGAAAAAGAAAGACAACATATTAGTTTTGTATAAAAATTATCAAATGACTATAGAAATTTCCTCTTGTTGCATAAAGATTTTAACATTAAGGGACTATATTGAATGGTTATCTACAAATCCATGCTACTATTAAAAGTCACATTTAAGAGAATCAAGTTTGTTTTCCTCTATCTTCTTACAGCTATTATGCATTCTCATAACAATTTAAAAATGCAATGTTAATTCAATGTTATGATTTATTTGCATGCATGCATATATTATATAGAACATTTTGTGTGGGAGTGTTGGGATCAAATCACCAGTCTCACAAGATACTGAATGACTTGAAGTAGAATTCCTTCTCTGTCTTAAAAAGCTTTTCTAGAAAAGTAGTACTCTTTCTTTTACCTGTTATGAATTGTCATTAATATAGTAAGGAAAGAATTATAAATGTTTATTGAAAATATGAAAGTATTAAATTTTGGAATATCTTGAATTAATTCACTGATAAATACTCTTTTATCTTATAAAATGGTAAAATAAAAACCTCAAAGAATATGACAGTAGAAAAAGTTTAACTCAACATTTAAGCCTTTTAATTTGTTTTTTAATAGCTGCTGTTAAGAAGCATCACCAACAACAGTGAAGTGAAGTTGCTCAGTCATGTCCAACTCTTTGCAACCACAGGGACTGTAGCCTACCAAGATCAACTGTTCATGGGATTTTCCAAGCAAGAGTACTGGAGTGGGTTGCCATTTCCTTCTCCAGGGGATCTTCCTGACCCAGGGATTGAACCTGGCTCTCCCACATTGTAGGCAGATGCTTTACTGTCTGAGCCACCAGGGAAGTCCTACCAACAATAGTAAAAGCTATCAAATTAGGTCTTCAATTCTACTGTAAGCACTGATGTCGTCTCAGCAGAAATCCTGATGTGGTTAACAGTCAAATAAAGCCTTGCCATTTTCCTGTCTAGCGAATATTTATAACAGTCAAATTGGAAAAGATTTATGAAAGGATAAAGGAATGAGGTAACAATGAAGGATAGAAATGGTATGGACCTAACAGGAGCAGAAGATATTAAGAAGCAGTGGCAAGAATACTCAGAATAACTATACAAAAAAGATCTTAATGACCCAGATAACCATGACGTTATTTCTGCTTTATTGACTATGCCAAAGCCTTTGACTGTGTGGATCACCACAAACTGTGGAAAATTCTTAAAGAGATGGGAATACCAGACCACCTGACCTGCCTGCTGAGAAATCTGTATGCAGGTCAAGAAGCAACAGTTAGAACTGGACTTGGAACAACAGACTGGTTCCAAATTGGGAAAGAAGTACGTCAAGGCAGAGTACATCATGTAAAATGCTGGGCTGGATGAAGCACAAGCTGGAATCAAGATTTCCAGGAGAAATATCAGTAACCTCAGATAAGCAGATGACACCACCCTTATGGCAGAAAGTGAAGAGGAACTAAGGAACCTCTTGATGAAAGTGAAAAAGGAGACTGAAAAAGCTGGCTTAAAACTCAAAATTCAAAAACTAAGATCATTGCTTGATTGCAAATAGATGGGAAACAATGGAAAGAGTGACAGAATTTATTTTCTTGGGCTCCAAAATCACTGTGGATGGTGATTGCAGCCATGAAGTTAAAAGATGCTTGCTCCTTGGAAGAAAATTTATGACAAACCTATACAGCATTTAAAAGGCGGAGACATTACTTTCCTGACAAAAGTCCATCCAGTCAAAGTTATGATTTTTCCAATAGTCATGTATGGATGTGAGAGTAAGACCATAAAGAAAGCTGAGTTGCTGAAGAATTGATGCTTTTAAACTGTGGTGTTGGAGCATACACTTGAGAGTCCTTTGGACTGCACGGAGATCCAACCAGTCCATCCTAAAGGAGATCAGTCCTGAGTGTTCATTGGAAGGACTGATGTTGAAGCTGAAACTCCAATACTTTGGCCTCCTGATGTGAAGAGCTGACTTATTTGAAAATACCCTAATGCTGGGAAAGATTGAAGGTGGGAGGAGAAGGGGATGTCAGAGGATGAGATGGTTGGATGGCATCACCAACTCAATGGACAAGAGTTTGGGTAAACTTTGAGAGTTGGTGATGGACAGGGAGGCCTGGCATGCTGCAGTTCATGTGATTGCAAAGAGTCAGACATGACTGAATGATTGAACTGAACTGAACTGATAACTGCTATCAGACTTAGCTTTTGGAAACAAAGAACTGGTCAAATTATGTAATAAAGGTCCTTAATAAATTCCTTTGGATATAAGAAACAGCCTAATACATTTAGCAGTGTTTTCAAGGCCCACTTTTCTGAAGTCTTATTTCTTTGTACCCATACTTTCTAAAATATCTCTTTATCTCCACGTGAGTCAGAAATTATAAGTATGTATATAGACTGATGGAAGGAGAGTACTTTGTGTCACACATACTAAAGGAACATGTTAATATGTAGAGCATTGGAGCATCAGGATGGCACTTTAAACTTCTGGGGAGCAGTTCCATGCAACCATTTAACTTGATCCTGATCTCTATCAGGAATAAGGGTACAAGAAGCAAAGTTTTACCTCCTTCTAGCAAACAACTACTAGGAGTATTCAATTAGTGGCAATACACTTTATTAATTATTCACTGCTGAGTTTAAGCTCTCATTTGTCTTTAGCCTGTGCCCAGGTTTCAGAGTATCTTCCATGTACTTTGGAATCGTTCTTTTCCTTTTTTAAAATAGCCACAGCTCTAAAACTTAGGGACAAAGGGCTTCTATTTTTTTTTTTAAATCATTGCTTTTAAGAAAATTTAGAGGACTATAGTTTTGGTTAAAATAAGTAACAGAAACTGAATATACCCTCTTGTCTGAAATGAATTTAAAAAATTCATTTAAAAATTTAAAAAATACCAAAATATGAGAAGCAACTATTTCTCAATATCTGAATATCAATTTATGAAGAACAGCAATCTCTAAGAGACAAGAAGCAGTGGAAATGAACCCTATGATTATCTTAGCTTACTGCTTGCATTGTTTCGAGGCCTTAGTGAAGGGAGCTGGAGCTGGGAGTCTAGGAACACCAAGATAGCTAAAATTCACAGGGCAGAGAATCTGAAGGAAAGAGGAGGATAAAAACACAGATACAAAGATCTAAAAAGTTATCCTAGGCAAACACTAACGAGTATGAAAGAGAAAATTAAGAGTAACACAACAATAGTGGGAGACTTTAATACACCACTCACAACTATGGATAGATCAACTAAACAGAAAATTAACAAGGAAACACAAACTTTAAAGGACACAAATGGACCAGCTAGACCTAACTGACATCTATAGGACGTTTCACCCCAAAACAATCAACTTCACCTTTTTCTCAAGTGCACACGGAACCTTCTCCAGAATAGATCACATCCTGGGCCATAAATCTNCCACAGTAAGGATAAAAGGAAAGAGAAATAAAATGGCAAAACATCTGAGGAAAATAACAGAGAAGAAATGATACTAATACAAATGTGTTTTAAAGAAAAACACAAAACTCAAAAGGCATAAAACACAGTATGATTATACTTTAATACACAACCAAAATACAAAACACCACAGAAAATTGACAGCAATAAAATATGGTATTTCATTTGCACTACACTAAGACATTGATATAGCAAGGAAAATGAAAGAAAAAAAAAACCAGAGCAAAATGAAATAACGCAAGAGATTGGTAAGGACTAAGCAAATATGAGATGACAGAACTGAACCGTTAACAGAAGAAAAGGCCAATTTCTTTGTAACATCATCTTGCCAAAGAATAAAAACGTAACATTTATACAGTTTTAGCAAATATATCCACATAAACACTTGCAGATAAGATTGATGAAATCCTGTCTACATAAGAGAGGAAAATCTATTTTACTTTGGACTCGAAACTATAAATGCTGGGTGTCCTTAGTCTTCACAGTTTCACTGGAATTTATCTCAACAAATTAGTTGTAAATTTATATATAAACAATGTTTACTGAATAGAAAAATCTATGGCTAGTATATACAGATCCCCTAAAATGCTGTGTTAACTGATCAATAAACCCACAGGATGTGCACAAAATTTCAACAATAATTAGGTAACATAGACAGAGGTGGCAGAATCAGAGGAGGAAAAACAGCATTTAAAAAGTAAAATGTTATACTTAAAATTTTCCATATCCTTTGAAATCTTGAAAATTGTGATTTTTTTTATGAATCAATTTTAAATTTCCCTGTGATAAATGAAAGTTTTAAATATACGCACTAATACTTTTGGGAGCATTGAAATGAAGCTTTGACATTACAAGATCCTGGGCGTCTTTGTGTAACAATGTCTCCATCATTCAAGCTCCTGAGATTCAGTCCAATAGCAACAATGAAAACAGTCCACATGCCTGGTTACAATTCTCTCCAATCACACTTTGGGTCACTTTCAAATTTGAGCCTTCTCAGCCAGTTTTTCTGATCTACAGGGAGTGTTTGTTGCAATACAATAATGAGGAATTGCCATACATTATGAAGATTATTTTTTGGTTTTATGGAAGATGGTGGCAGAATCAGTAGCATCAGTTTTCCTATGTAGTCATCACTTGAGAGGACACACTGGGGAAAAATGGGTAAAGGTTAGTAGCACACTTCATTACATAAAATGAAATGCAATAAATAGCAATTCTAATATGAAAAAACAACAGGTGAATCAAAATTTGCTTTGGAATTCTTTTAACAATGAGAAAGTCAGGTGTTGGTAGTCTTACATCTTGCTTCTTATATCTTCTGGACTGATCCTTTGAACTTTCTCCTCACATTGTCTATGTCCCCTTTTTATTACTCTTATATCTCCAGAGCACTCACTCATGATATCATGCAATCTACATGGCTTTCTGTATAAGAAACATACCAATACCTAAACATTTCAATGAAAATATCCAAGAAGCTTAGTCCATTTGATAAGAAAAATAGTAACTAATCGGGATGCGGAATACATGTAAATCCATAGCTAATTCATGTCAATGTATGGCAAAAACCACTACAATATTGTAAAGTAATTAGCCTCCAACTAATAAAAATAAATGAAAAAAAAAAGGTTATCCTGTGCTTACAGCAGCGTTATTTACAATAGCCAAGATATGGAAGCAAGGTACAAGTCCATCAATAGATGAACAAATAAGGAAGGTGTGATTTTACATATATATATATTTTTTACATTATAATACATACATTACAATACATTTTTACATTACAATACATACATACAATACAATTTTTTACATTACAATACAATACATAAAATTACAATAATTTTTTATATTATATATTTTACATATATATATATACACACACATATACACACATACTAATATATATATATATATTAATATTCCATTGTAAATGTGCAATGGAATATTAGTCAGCCATGGGCTGTAGCCCACCAGGCTCCTCTGTCCATGGGATTCTCCAGGTAAGAACACTGGAGTGGAGAACTATTCCCTTCTCTAGGGGATCTTCCCATTCCAGGGACTGAACATGGACCTCCTACTTTGCAGGTAGATTCTTCACCACCTGAGGCACCAGAGAAGCCCCATATGTGCTAGTAGCTCAGTCGTGTCCGACTCTTCGCGGCCCCATAGACTGTCGCCTGTTGGCTTTTCTGTCCATGGGATTCTCCAGGCAAAAATACTGGAGTGGATTGCCATTCCCTCCACATATATACCAATATATACAAATATTAATCAGCTCTAACAAAGAATGAACTTTTGCCATTTGCAACAACGTGAATGGGCCTAGGTGTATTATGCTTAGTGAAATAAGTCAGACAGAGAAAGACAGTCTCTGTGTTATCAACTTATATGTGGAATCTAAAAATTAAAACAAAATATTGTATATAACAAAACAGAAAAAGACAATTATGGAGCACAAAATAGTGGTTATTGGTGGGGAGAAGGAAGGTGGGAGGGACAAGATAGGGGTATGGGATTAGGAGATACAAACTACTATGTATAAAATAGGTAAGCAACAAGAATATACTGTTTCACACAGGGCAAAATAGTCAATGTTTTGTAACAACTTTACATGGAATACAATCTTTAAAAATATCAAATCACAATGATGTATACCTAACACTATAATATTGTAAATCAACTATAAGTCAATATAAATAAATAAATAGATTATCCTAAGATACGATGATACTACCTCAGGTCAGGTCAAGAACCATCTGAAAAGATGAAATGAAAAACATCTAGTGCTCAAAATGGCACAGTATGTGGCAGGAAGAAACATTTTTATCATGTATGGGTGCTAAGTCACTTCAGTTGTGTTTGACTCTTTGCAATCCTATGGACTGTAGCCTGCCAGGCTCCCCGTCCATGAGACTCTCCAGGCAAGAATACTGGAGTGGGTTGCCAGGCCCTCCTCCAGGGGATCTTCCTGACCCAGAGATTGAACCTGCATCTCTTATGCCTCCTGCTTTGGCAGGCAGATTCTTTAACACTGGAACCATCTGGGAAGCCCTTGATCACACAGCCAGAGTAAAAAAGCTTAGTTATCACAGGTCATATGGCTGAGCACTCAGAATGATTTGATCTCTGCAATGGGAAAAATTATCCTTAGATCAAAATGTTTTTCCATTCCTGTTTACTAAAGGTGAAAATCATAGCAACCTAATAATTACATCCTAGAATAAATTTTTCCCTCAATATCAGAAGCAAGGCAAGGCTGTCCATCTAATCAGTTTTTAATTGAACTAAGCAATTTAAGACAGTACTGCATGCAATATGTAACTGGATATAAATAAATGGTATAGATGGTATTCAGCTTGGAAGTTAAAATGTTCATCAACAAATGAATGGGTAAAAATTATGATATATCCATATAATCTAACACAACTTTGCAAAAAAAGTGACTGAACTATTGATATGCATAACTACATGGATAAATCTCAGAATAATTATGCTGAGTGGAAGAAACCAGGCACAAAAGAGTATATACAGTATGATTCTGCTTATATAGCATTCTGGAAATTGTGAATGAATCTGTACCAACAGAAAGTACAACAAGAACAGTAAAAAGGGGAGTGTGTGAATATTTAAAACAAACAATAATGAAAAAATAACCAGTAGAATAACCTCTGGCTATTGTGAATATAGTCTTATCTTGGTGTTTTTTTCATTGCTGTCCTTCAGTCACTAAGTCATATCAGACTCTTTGCAACCGCATGAACTGCAGCAAGCCAGTCTTTCCCTGTCCTTTACTATCTCTCTGAGTTTGTTCAAGCTCATGTTCATTGAGTCAGTGATGTCAACAAACCATGGGTGTATATACATGCCCAAACTTATCAGAGTATACACTTTTAGTATTGGTAGTTTGTTGTATATACTATCTCAATAAAGCTGTTCAAAAATATCTCAGTGGATATATGTTTGTTTATGGAGAGACTGTTTCTTTCCTGCTACTATAAATCTCACGCATCACAGGACTAAGACTGAGGCCACTTACCTGGTCAAAAGAAATTGAGGAGTGAGGTTCTAGGCCAGCAGGGCAGCTGCTGCAGGCTCGGCTTCATCAGGCTCTGTTATAGCAAGTGGTTGGATATCTGGGAGAGTATGTGGGGGTGTAGTAGGTGGGACGAGAATCTCAACTATATATGTATTGTCTGCAGAAGGTGCAGCTTCATTAGGTGGGTAAAAAGGTCCCGTAGGTCTACTTGAGGCAGGAACAAGGCGGAAAACCCCAGTAGGAGGAGGTTGACGGGGAAAAGGAGATATGGGAAGACTAGCAATGCTGTAGAGGGGAGCTCCAAGAGCAGTGAAAACCAGGGGATTTGAGGGTACTGCTGTATCACGATCAGGATTCACAGGGTAATTGGGGAAGTTAGTCTTTGTAAGATAGACAGGAGGAGTGTAATCACTGTCTGGCATGGGATAAGGAATATTTGCAGATGGGTTAACTGGGTAAGGAATACTTGCAGATGGGTTAACTGGGTAAGGACTGCCTATGTTGTCACCGTAATCCTAAAGGAGAGCAAAGTAGTCAATTAAAAATGATTACATCCATCCTATCTCTATATTACTTATGACTGTGATGACATTTAATGGGTAAATATTATATTATATCATCATTTGGGTTTATCACATAATCCCCAGGGACTAAAGACTTTGCAATATAACTTCTCAATGAATGTAGATTGTTCCTCAATGGTTTGGGGATACTTTATCTTTCTTGATGTATTTTCAAGAACTTTAAAAAAGTATCAAATGAATGCCTACTCTGTGCTGTCTACCTGCATAGAACAGACAAGATTTCTTTGCTTGTGCCAGGGTTGTTGTCTCCCAGGTAGGAAGTTTCTTCATTAAAATTTAATATTGTGCATAATATTATTTCCAATTTTAGAGTAGTTTCCTGAATTACTGAGTTAAAATACTTGCTCCTGGATCATGAAGGTAAGATGCATGATATACAAACAATAGACATTCCAGAGTGTTCATAGAGACAGACACAGTGATTCATATTGTGATCAGGGAGTTCTAATTCTTATGATTAAAATCTTAACTCTTGTAAGAAATTAAAAATAGTATCTCATATTGTTTTCATTTTAAAATTATTTTCTATTCCTTTGCCATATGTCTAATGGTATTTGGTTATGTCTAATGGTATTTGGTTAAAACTGTACACATCTGGATCATGTGTCTTGGCCTTTCTTTGACAGATTGTTGTGTTGATCTACTGTATACTTGTGGGTAGATATAAGTATTATTTTCTTAGCACTCTCCTGTCATCAGAATTGAGGCAAAAATGACAAAGAACTAAAAAAAAAATTCTAATGGCAGTGAACTGATGAATGTCTTGGTGCGCTACATAGGGATAATTTGAGCATTTGCCACACAGAAGTCACCTAACACTTTGGGATATATTTCTCCTGCTAGTAATTCCTAGATCATGCTTTCTTCTGCTATCCTTTCTTATAGGCAAAATCTTCTTAGATTCATCACTTATTTTGTTGAAGTAAACTCACTACAATATTGTCATAAAACCTTGTCAAAGCATGAGGAGAAAATCCGGGCATGGCAAAACTTATATCCACTATAAAGGGTGTATACTTGCTTAATGCTTCTGTTCATTGAAAAGAAAGAAAATTCTTACAGTAAATATGTTGAGCACAAATATAGGTATACTTCATAAACATTTTTCTATCAAATATGAGTTTAATAGGATCAATATTTTAACAGCAACAGTAGTCACAAAATTGCATACTAAAAATCAGAGAGTTTTAAAATGTAAAATATACTTCAAGGTAGAAACAAATATATTTATGTGCATGTTAGTCGCTTAGTCATGTCCAACTCTTTGCAATCCCATGGACCATAGCCCGTCAGGCTCCTCTGTCCATGGATTTCTCTAGGCAAGAATACTGGAGTGGGTTTCCATTTCCTCCAAAATACATTTATACATAGATGAAAAAAAAAAGTTTTATCTCATCAATAAACTGGAAGCATTTCTAAAACAAAGGAAAAAGTTAATTCACTATGGTTATTCATTATGGAGTTCCACAGAGACAAGAAAGGAGAGATAAGAAAGACTTCTTAAGTGAAAAATTCAAATAAATACAGGAAAACAGCAGAATGGGAAAGACGAGAGATCTCTTCAACAAAATTGGAGATATCAAGGGAACATTTCATGCAAATATGGGCACAATAAAGGACAGAAGCAGCAAGGACCTAAGAGAAGCTGAAGAGATTAAGAAGAGGTGGCAAGAATACACAGAAAACTATATAAAAAAGGTCTTCATGACCCTGATAACCATGATGGTGTGATCACTTACCTAAAGCCAGACATGCCAAAGTGTGAAGTCAAGGGGTCGTTAGGAATAATTAGTAAGAAAAAAGGTAGAGGAGGTGATGGAATTTCAGCTGAGTTATTTCAAGTCCTAAAAGATGATGCTGTGAAAGTGCTGCACTCAATATGCCAGCAAATTTGAAAGGCTCAGCAGTGGCCACAGGACTAGAAAAAGTCAGTTTTCATTCCAATACCAAAGAAAGGCAATACCAAAGAATGTTCAAACTACTATATAATTGTGCTTATTTCACATGCTAGCAAGATAATGCTAAAATCTTTCAAGCTAAGCTTCAACAGTATGTGAACTAAGAACTTTTAGATGTACAAGCTGGAGTTAGAAAAAGCACAGGAACCGGAGATCAAATTGCCAACATCTTCTGGATCGTAGAAAAAGCAAGGCAATTCCAAAACAATGTCTGCTTTTGCTTCGTTGACTATGCTAAAGCTGTTGACTGTGTGGATCAGAGCAAACTGTGGAAAATTCTTAAAGAGATGGCAATACCAGACCACCTCACCTGTCTCCTGAGAAACTTTTATGCAGGTCAAGAAGCAACAGTTAGAACTGGGCATGGAACAGCAGACTGATTCAAAATTGGAAAAGGAGTATATCAAGGCTGTATATTGTCACCCTACTTACTTACCTTTAGGCAGAGTACATCATACAAAATGCCAGGATGGATGAAGCACAAGCTGGAATCAAGATTGCTGGGAAAAATATCAACAACTTCAGATGTGCAGATGATGCCACTATAACAGCAGAAAGCAAAGAGGAACTAAAGAACCTCTTGATTAATATAAAAGAGGAGAGAGAAAAAGTTGGCTTAAAGCTCAACATTGAAAAACTAAGATCATGGCATCTGGTTCCGTCTGTTCATGGCAGATAGGTGGGGAAACAATAGTAACCATGACAGACTTTATTTTCTTGGGCTACAAAATCACTGGATGGTGACTGTAGTCACAAAATTAATAGATGCTTGCTTCTTGGAAGAAAAGCTATGACCAACCTAGATAGCATATTAGAAAGCAGAGACATCACTTTGCCGACAAAGGTCTGTATAGTAAAACCTATGGTTTTTCCAGTATTCATGTATGGATGGGAGAGTTGGACCTATCATAGAGAAGGGTGAGAGTTGAAGAACTGATACTTTTGAATTGTGGTGTTGGAGAAGACTCTTGAGAGTCTCTTGGACTGTAAGTTGATCCAACCCGTTAATCCTAAAGAAATTAACCCTGAATATTTACTGGAAGAACTGATGCTGAAACTGAAGCTCCAATGCTTTGGCCACCTGATGCAAAGAACCAACTCACTGAAAAAGACCTTGATGCTGGAAAAGACTGAAGGCAGGAGGAGAAGGGGGTAACATAGGATGAGATGGTTGGATGCCATCACCAACTCAATGGACATGAATTTGAGCAAACTCTGGGACATAGTGAAAGACAGAGAAGCCTGGAGTGCTGCAGTCCATGGGGTCATAAAGAGTCAGACATGACTTAGTGACTGAAAAACAGCAACTACATCAGACCTCCAGCAATGGGACTTCATTTCCAGAGGAAGCCTAATTCAGTTTTGTATAATCTGAAGATGTAAACTATTAAGATCATCTGCCTGGAATTCTGGTTCCCTATAATTTTATTCTCCTCCAACCCACTGCCTTTCTGAATTCACCTCTTTTCCTTGCTGCTTATTCATTTTCAGATTACACAACTTTTATTATTTTGGCATCTGAAAATTTCTTTTGAAAAGTTTGGTACAATAAACTACATACTCATTAACATGTCTCTGCATCATTATCAACACTATAACTACAGTATACAATTGTAGAACCGCTGTCTACAACTATTTGATGATTATACTATTGCTACAATTTTAAAAGTCTGTTTACTTACCCTTGCAAAAGAAACATACATGAGGCAGGCCCAAAGGAGGAACTTCATGTTGGTTGACCCTATGAACATTAATGTTATAAATTGATTGTTTCAGAAAACATACAATATATCTCATATTTTTCTTCTACAGAATAATAAAAGTGTCTATGGCCTTATTAGTCTGACTAGGAAGAATCTTCACAGAAAATTTGATCACCTTGTTCATCTACTGTCAGCATTACCTAATGTGAATGACACCAAAGCCAAATTTATCTTCATGGCAGATGTCTTTCAATGACCAGAATTTCTTGAAGTATTACTGTTTTCATGTCCTATTGATACTGACATGGCTTATTTCTGATTTTTCATTTATTTTTGTTCTTTGTGTACAGAGAATTTCAGAGTCAGATGTCTTGGCCATTTTTAGAACTCTATAGGGTGTTGTGGTGCCTCATCTGGGTGAACTTACTTCATGTCTGGCTTTATCTTTTTTTTCTAGCCTTATTTTTTCCCTCATCAAAATCTTTTTAACTTCTCAAAAAATTCTGTTTTACCTATTTTGCAAGCTGCCTTGTCATTTTAACATGGGTCATATTATAAATGAACAAGAAAAAGAAAAAAATTCACCAATCAAAGGAATCTTTCCCAAACTGTTTAGAATATCAAAATTTCCCTCTGTTATATTTTAATGTTTTGTAAAGAAAATGAAAAATTTTAATTAGCTAAACAAAAAATATAATTAATTTATACCTAAAGGAGACAATATTTTATTCCTCATTATAGTCTAATTATTTTTCTTATTTTTTATTTTTTTAGTCTAATTATTTTTAAAGTAGCCTTTACCTCATTGTGGACTTCCCTGGTAGCTCAGTGGTAAATAACTAGCCTGCCAGTGCAGGAGATGTGGATTCAGTCTCTGGGTTGGGGAAGATACCCTGGAGAAGGAAATGGCAATCCACTCCAGGATTCTTGCCTGGGAAATCCCGAGGGCTGGGCAGGCTAGTCTATGGGGTTGCAAAAGAGTCAGAAATGACTTAGCAACTAAACAACAATACCTCATTGTAGAGTTCTAAAGATGAACAATGAAAAGTTAACTATTGATTGTCTTTCTAAATCACTCCATGTATCCCTATCTAGGTTTTTGAAATATGAATCTTTTATTGGCTGCAGTCAATTTCCAAAGACAAATTATATGGCAGCTGTCTAGTTTGCTATATCAATAATTATCATATTGTCTAATAATTATTTGATAACTGACATATCATATGATGAATAATCTAGAAGAACCTCTCCCTTACCTTACCATTATTTTGGAAACCTATCAATTTGATCATATGTTATGGCCAAAATCTATAAATAAAGATAAAATAAATTATGTCAGAAAATGCACATTTACATTTTTTGATGTGCTTTTAAAAGAAATCCTACATAAGTTGTTTAACATCAACTTAAATTATTATATATTATAATCAGTTCTGTTTAGCTGCTCAGTGCTGTTCGACTCTTTGTGACCTTGTGGACTGCAGCACGCCAGGCATCCCTGTCCATTTCCGACTCCTGGAGCTTGCTCAAACTCATGTCTATCAAGTCAGTGATGCCATCCAGCCATCTCATCCTCTGTCATCCCCTTCTCCTCCCGCCTTCAATCTTTTCCAGCATCAGGGTCTTTTCCAATGAGTCAATTCTTCGCAGCATATGTGGCCAAAGTATTGGAGTTTCAGCTTCAGCATCAGTCTTCCCAATGAATATTCAGGACTGATTTCCTTTAGGATGGATGGGTTAGATCACCTTGCAGAGATGTTTGTATCATATTTTAAATTAAATTTGACCTTTTTTTTTAATATGACAACTATTAATTAGCTTAAATGCATTAAGAATTCTCTTGAAGAGAAATAAATATTTCTTCTTCATAAAGAATGTAAAAATAAAATTTTTATTCCTTTCAGAAAAATTGATAGCTAGTAAAGGATAATAGAACTATAATTTCAGACTCCTTAAAATGAAAACTTGAGAAATGGAAAAGTCTCAGATGTATCAGCATTTAAAAATCTCACCAAGGTATCATTGCCTCAATTCACTTATCTACCCATGTATCACTTGTAATTTATTATTTTAGAAATCTCCAAAAAGGAAAAAAAACAACAAAGAACATTTATGACCCATTCAAGTAATGCTTTTTATCCTCTCTTTTCCTCAGATTTTATTTTTTCTTCAAATAGATTTAAAGTGAGAACGGCTTACTTGACCCTATTTTTCAATCCTTCAGAAGAACATGAGAATTCCTCAGTAGAAACCCATCCTTCTCAGGTTTGTGTGAACTCTTAAGTCCAGTCTACACCTAGAAAAGACAAATTTTTCTTTGATACGTCTCCTCTCATGCAGCCTTGAAGTGAGAATTTAAGTATTTGGTGGTTCGACTTACATAACACCCTGTATTACCAACCTCTCCAAACCAGGAAAGAATATAAATGTGCCGTGCATTTAGACACTGATGGTGGTTTAGTCCCTAAGTCCTGGCTGACTCTTTGCAACCCCATGGACTGTAGACCACCAGGCTTCCCTGGCATTACTAGAAGTGGGTTGCCATTTCCTCTTGCAGGCAACACACTCTATTAAAATTTATCTGAGACCCACTAGAGAATCTCAAAAAAAACAACAACAACAAACAACTCTTTAAAAATGTGAGCATCTTAATAGAGGGTGTGTGTCGGGATGGGGATGTGGGGTACCAGTCTTGTCTTAATCTGGACAATGTGCCTCACTCCCTTTCCTCCAGGGGTGTTTATAAGAAATCCTTAATCTAATGTTTCTTCTTCTGGTTGAAATAAATCAACATTAAAACTAAAAAAATAAAAACCTATCAATTTGGCTGATTTGAGTGTAAATTACATGCTTATTTCAGAACCATAAAAATAAGGAAGTTTAAATGTAATTCCAAAATGCACTTTGCAAATATGTATTAGGTATGTGCGTATTAAATCACATCAGTCGAGTCTGACTTTGTGTGACCTATGAATTGTAGCCCGCCAGGCTCCTCTGTCCATGGGATTCTCCAGGCAAGAATACTGGAGTGGGTTGTCATGCCCTCCTCCAGGGAATCTTCCCAACCCAGGACCCAGGGGTTGAATCTGCATTGGCAGGTGGGTTTTTTTTTTTTTTTTTTTTTTTTAACCACTGGAGCCACCAGGGAAGACCAAATATGCACTACTTGACTGATTTTTTGACATCAATTGGTAATTGCAATGAAGGAATCTTATGCTTTATTTCATTTTAAGTATGGAATACAATTGAAAAACAAATAGTTTAAAAATTAACAGTACGGTCTCTCTTCTTATGTTCAGTTCAGTTCAGTTTAGTTGCCCAGTTGTGTCCGACTCTTTGCGACCCCATGGACTGCAGCACGCCAGGCCTCCGTGTCCATCACCAACTGCCATAGTCTACCCAAACCCATGTCCATTGAGTTGGTGATGCCATCCAACCATCTCATCCTCTGTCGTCCCCTTCTCCTCTTGCCTTGAATCTTTCCCAGCATCAAGGTCTTTTCAAATGAGTCAACTCTTTGCATCAGGTGGCCAAAGTATTGGAGTTTCAGCTTCAACATCAGTCCTTCCAATGAACACCCAGGACTGGTTGGATCTCCTTGCAGTCCAAGGGACTCTCAAGAGTCTTCTCCAACACCACAGTTCAAAAGCATCAATTCTTCNGACGTACTCCTTTTCCTATTTGGAACCGGTCTGTTGTTCCATGTCCAGTTCTCACTGTTGCCTCCTGACCTGCATACAGGTTTCTCAAGAGGCAGGTCAGGTGGTCTGGTATTCCCATCTCTTTCAGAATTTCTACAGTTTGAGTGTTACAAATATGAATTACCTACCAAAATAATTATAACCATTAAAACTTAGAAGAGCTGCTCCATCCTGTGAATTTATTATTGACCACAGTATCTCCAGTTATACGTAGTACTCAATAAGAAATGACAACAAGATATCGTACTGGTTGGCAGTGCTCAAGTCATCATCAGAGCAACATGAAGTGATTTAGGTTGATACACTCTTGAATCATAATAGTGGCTGCAGTGTTTATTCAGAGCAAGAGAATCCTTTCTTCAAGTGCATAATATTCTCTCCGTGGAGTCAATTAATACAAATCCCACTACTAAAGGCCTCATAGAAGGAAAAAAAGTACTCATATACAAGCATAAAATATTTTCCTCATCTTATTCTGAACTATAACATATGTCTGGCATTCAGTACAAAGAGTTACAAGACACACAGAAAGTCAAGAAAAAATTATGAAGATAAAAAAGAAGCCATCAGACCAGAGTCAGTTATACAGATGTTGGAATTCTCCTCCAGGGGATCTTCCCAACCCAGGGATCAAACCCAGGTCTCCCACACTGCAGGTGGATTCTTTACCATCTGAGCCACCAGGGAAGCCCACATGTAAACTTCATTGACCCTCTATTTCTGACTGTTACACTGAAAATTAGTATAATTAAGTCCATTACTTTGTGAGTCAACAAGTTAGGAAATCTGCAGATTATGTTTGACAGGTGGAAAGAATAGACATGAATAAACATGAGAGTACTCTTCTGTTATGTACAACCTAATATCCACAAATAGTAGGTGACTTCAGAATACAGATAGAGCAGAATGTATCTTGCTATTTTGTAATAATGGAAATAGGATACTTTATATTTTGTTATTGACTGCTATGCTCTTGGAAATGTCAAGATGTTTAATTTACAAGAGGAATACTCAACAAAGATACGCCACTAACTATTGCTGCCACAGGTATACAATCCATCTGCAAAGTTTTGTAATGTGTTTTCCTGCTTTCATATGTTTTAAGTCTTTTTCAGTTATAAGAGACTCTTTAGGTATCTCTCTGTACCAATAATATAAACTTGCATCTAGATAGTGTTTGACAAATCTTTGAAGATTATTTGTTGATTGCAAAAAGCAGCTATGATAAATGCTATGCTCCAGTTTAATTTGTGGTAATAAAATATTGCCATCAGGCTTCCCTAATTGTTCAGTGGTAAAGAATCTGCCTGCCAATGCAGGGGACTCAGGTTGGATTCCTGATCCAGGAAGATGCCCTGGAGAAGGAAATGGGAGCGCTCTCCAGTATTCTTGCCTGGGAAATCCCATGAATAGAGAAGTCTGGCAGGCTACTGTCCTTGGGGTCAGAAAGAGTCAGACAACAGCTTAGCGACTAAAACAACAAAACAAATAAAATATTAGGTGTGGAGTATATGGAACATATGGAATTCATTCAAATGCCAGATAATGTTTTGATTATTGAACTACTGAGGAGTTGATGTCTGCTTACACATTGCCACTGATATTGCTTACATTTTAATTTGGAGAGCCAAAAAATATAGACAGGGTTTCAGAAGTCAACTGGGTATATCTGTCTAAATTTGGAGAACAGTAATTTAGAGCTGAATTTATCTAAATAATTAGAAGCTGATTTTAATCAGCCAATTGTATGTGGCAATTAAAATGTTTAAAGTGGACAATATGATTTAGGAAAAAATATGTTGAAATTGAAAAGAAGTGGCCGTGGCCAGAGGCCTAGAGACCATTGATGTTTGTGTAGGAGAAAGAAATGGAGTATTTCCAGTAAGAAATAGCTAAATAAAGATAATTGTAAGAATCACCAGGTCATAAATATTAATAGATCCAAATAAAATGTTGCCCCTGGAGACAACATATTCCTTTTTTTTTTTGCTAAAATTTCCTCATCCATAAGGTATAATCTTAAGAGTTATTAATAATTTAATAGTTATAAAGATAATTGAGACAAATATATAAATTGCCCTGCACATAGCTGTTCAATAAGTTTCAGACATTATAATCATTACTATTACTTTGCCCAGTGAGCAACACTGAACAGGATAGAGTACAGAGGAAGTTTTAAAAAGCACCAGAGGAGCTATTAGCTTTGAACCAGAGAAAGATCACCACAGCCTTTGAGATTTGAAGGAGACAGTCAAAGTTATGTTCAGATTTAGATCAAGTTAGTGAAGTGTTATGCTAGCGAGGTAAAAAGTGTTTAGGCTTGATGAACTCAATATTTGTCAATAAAGTAGGAAGGTAGTTTTTTTTTTCAGTAAGAGAATTGGGAGTTTAGAGAGAGTTGAAGAAGGCAGCTAACTCTAACACCAAGACAACAAAGATTGATGAGCAGTCTTTCATGACTAACATGTTTAGAAATGTTTAAAGAACAAACTTACTTTCGTATTCAGCTGCTTTGCATGAAGTGGCAGTAGAAATTTAGTTCATGGTTGGATGCTTTCCAGTAGCACCAAATGCAGAGGGACAGAAGAGTTACATGAGTTATCAAAATGATACTTTAAAAAAAATCAAGGGTGAAGTCTGGGCTGTGTAAGAAAGGAAGTGAGGTGAACAAGAAATAGAATGGAATATATTCAGAGTGTTAAGGGATGGAGTGTTCTATGAAGACAAAGTAAAATTCTCTTAGCTTCTACTTCTTCCACTCTTTCAAAATATATGCCATGTGTACCCTTCTTCTGAAAAACCCTTTAGTGTTCAGCCTGAATAGGAAAAAATGTGAATTTAAGAGGGCTTGGATAGAATGGAGTACAATGAGGTTTAAGGACTGGAGTAGTCTACTGAATCAAAGAAAAAGTCTTCAATTTTCAAATCTTTTCATCAAAGATACATATCATATAATGTCACTTGCCTGTGAAAACTCCTCCAATGTCTTCCCATCACAAGCAAATGTTTCACAGAAATTTCTAAGCTCAAATAGCTTTCATCTTTATTCTTTCCTCTTTAATTCACTTTCCTTTAAGTTCCTTATCCCTCTGTCTTCTCTGGCTATGTTTTCTTATGTTCCATGCATGAACCCATTTGTTTTTTCTATTTCTCCAGTTGTTATACCATTAATAGGGGGCTTTGGAAGGTTTATGTTCCCAGTGCCTGACTCCCTACTTTAGTGTGACAAGGTGACCAGAGAGAGGAGGACTGGGGCCTCTGGTGAAGGTTCAGGGTTAATGCTGTGGCAGATGATGAGCACAAAGTAACAAAAAAAGGTAGAATGATGATTGAATAATACTGTAAACCTAGCTGTGTTTGGAGAATACAATAAGTAGTATTTATGAGAAGTAAGATTGAATTACTCAGAAAGTGTATGGTTCTTTTGATGGTAGTCAAGCTGGTTCAGAGTTATTGTTAGGACTGTTTATATTATAAGACTCTTTATGTTATAATCCATGAAGGTTTCCTCAGTGGCTCAGCAGAAAAGAATTTACCTGCAATTCAGGAGACCAGGGTTTGATCCCTGGGTCAGAAAGATGCCCTGGAGAAGGAAATGGTTACCCACTCCAGTATTCTTGCCTGGGAAATCCCATGGACAGAGGAGCCTGGTGGGTCATGGGGTTGCAAAGAATTGAACATGGCTTAGCAACTAAACAACAAACAATATTATAATCCACAGCCTCATGAGCCAATATGAATGATGGAAATGATGATTACACACCAAAGAATGCACTTGAAATTTTATTTTCAGAGGGAAAGAAAAATATTTCTATAACTCAGAAAGAGTAGGGAAAGTATTTTAAATAATCATCAGCTAAGTTTGTATGAAACCACCATATAAACCCAGTATATTCAATATAAACTAACAGGGAGAGTATAAATAATTCAGGAAATACTCTGAGATTTGTCTTATTGATGGGCCACTCCAAACATGCTGGTTGTATAAAGTAAAGTGGTAGATATGAAACTGTAGAAGATAGATTTTCCAGTTCAACCTGAAAAGGAAAACAGAATACTATATTACCTATAGATCTATACTCAAGAAACAATGTATGTCTGTATACAGAACCCACACATACTTATCCATACTAGTTTAGCAGAATGTTATTTTTTTTTCAAACTTTAAAATTTATTTTGTGTTGGAGTATATCTGATTAACAATGTTGTGGTAGTTTCAAGTGAACAGCAAAGGGATTCAGCCATGCATATACATGTATCCAAAATGTTATTATTTGTAACTATTATTAGTTAATATTTTCTAGTGCTCAACATGATAACCTAGAACATTGTAGGATTTTAATAACTATTTGTGAAATAATTTAATGTATGAGTGAAAACTGATAGCCAGTTTCTTTAATCCAACAAATAAAAGTAGTATTAATATTTATATTTATTTATAAAGTGGTAAATATTTACACTTCAGCAACTTTGAAGGAACATTTAATTATTCTTATTTTCTAAATAATTTGTTACACATAAAATGTTATTGCTTCCTGCACCTAAAACCCTTTAATATAATTGAAATCTAGATTTTAATAAAACAAAATCATTATGCAAAATGACCATGGGCTGATACATTAAGAAATTGCTAAAATTATTAAATTCTTTAAAACTGACTTGCATTTTTGGTTTCTCTGTTTCTTTTGTCATTTTCCTATCAGTTTGATACCTTTTTTTTCCCCTTTGCCATTGCTTTGCTTAGCCTATTTCTAATTATCTGAAAAGACTTACTTTAGGACTTATGTTTAATGCATCACTGGATCTTTTTGTACTACCACATATTTCTGATGTCTCTAACTTAGCATCTGGCACCTTGTATAGCATTTCTGTGACTTTGTCTAGAATAGAGCTTAATGAGGATAAGTTTGGTACCTTATTTTTGTCTCCTTCATTTCTCCTACATTATGGAACACATGATCAATTTTTTTTAATGTAGAATAAATATATAAATAGTGATAGCAAAGGGAATAAAGCTATTTATTAAACACAACTGAATATTCAGCTCATATTTATCAATTTTTTTTTAATGTAGAATAAATATATAAATAGTGATAGCAAAGGGAATAAAGCTATTTATTAAACACAACTGAATATTCAGCTCATATTTATAATAGTTATTATTTTTTTTCCACAGAAATTTATTTTGCAAAGTTGTCTAATTCTTTTCATCATTCAGAGAGAAAAAATGATATGACAAAGCAAGTCAAGTTTGTGACAACATAACCTAAAGCCAAAAAAGTGTTCTAAAAAAATCCCCTAGTTGGACTTTGGTTGTAGCTTAGCATCAATAGTGGAGTGTTTGAGTCCAGAGCTGGAAATCTGCGTTGGATTCTTGGCTTTTCCACTTTTACATGGTGATTGTGAACAAGTTATTTAATTTCTATGGGGCTCAGTTTCCTTAGGAGAAGGCCATGGCACCTAGAAAAAGTGACTACATGAAAAAGCAACATTGATGTATACTTGTTTCCTTTACTGTTCATCATGGTTTTAACGCAATGTTTAAAATGTCAAAGAGAATCACTAGGAGAAGTAGGTTTTATGTGGTTAAAAAAATAAATGATTTTTTTCCAGAGAAAATAATGCTTGCCTTAAACTAACTTGTGTAAGAAAACTTTATATTGTATACCTTTCACCAAACTGAAATTCTGGGTCTGAGCTCTAAGGTGACAGGTTAACATCCCTGTGGCCATTATGCTTGTGACAATTTCCACCCAGAGCTCTTGCTTCTGACTGAATTTATCATCAGCTATAGAGAACCTTCTCTATAATTTATTTTCAAAATATGTATAAAATGCATGCAAATATACAGATCACTTACATTTGTGAATCCAAGAGGTATAAGCAAAATTTAAAACATTTCATAAACCAAGTATGACTTAAAGTTGAAGCTATATACTTCCCAAGTGGTGTTAGTGGTAAGAACCTGCCTGCGAATGCAGGAGATGTAAGAGACATGGGTTCGATCCCTGGATCAGGAGGATCCCTTGGAAGAGGGCATGGCAACCTACTCTAGTATTCTTGCCTGGAGAATCCTATGCATAGAGGAGCCCGGTGGGCTATAGTCGATAGGGTCACACAGAGTCAGACATGACTGAAGCAATTTAACACGTATATATATTACTTAATATTAGTCATCCTTCACACAAAAATCCCATTTACTGTTTAAATTATAAGCCTGAAGTTACTTACCATAACCAGGTAGAAGCAGTTAATTCAAGAATCTTAAAGGTATTTCTTTAAAAGAGAATGAAATAACATATTTTAGCTAATTGCTTATAATAACAAACAAAAAGAATATTTACAACTCTGTGGAAATATTTAGAAAAATTTTTGACACATTATACTCAAACTACAGATACTAAATTATTATTTTCTCTAATCATGGGAAAGATATCATTAAATGCTATGTGTATATCCAATAAAGTAAATCATATTAAAAAAATCCATATAAATGAAGTGACTTGCCCCAAATCAAAAGTTTATTTATGTCAGGTCTTCTGGATTCCAATCCTATATTTTTATATTAACTTATTGGTTCTCTAGTTTCAATTTCCTGCTCTCTCCCTTATTCCTTATGTTAAAATATATTTCCTCAGTCACACTTTTTAAAAAATGAAACAAAGGAGAGAAATGTTAATTAGAGTTTGGTCAGGCTACTTTTTGGGATTTCAGATACTTTTGTGAAATGGAAGTGATATTCTCTATGCTGACCCACCTTCAGGAAATGCTATAGAATCAACTGAAATATTATAAGCAAATACTTATGACATTTAAATCCAATGCAAGTACAATGTATCATGATAACTATTTCTTATTGTAGCTCTATTCATCCTATATGATTTATAATTCAATTTCCAGCCTAGAACATTTATTTAATTTTGTCTTAGCTTTTACTTTAGAACTTAGAATTTCATTTACATATTTCATTTCCCTATCTTATTTTTATTACAAACGACAACTCGATTTTTAAAATTCAAAATAAAAGGGAGAACTCACCACATAGGGAATAGCATTTGTCTTAGGTTGAGTCCATGGCTTCATAGCTTTCTGATACTGATAAACAGTCTTGAGATACTGGGGCCAGGCGAATTTCTGGTAATACTGGCTGATTTTTTTCTAGGACAATTATAATTATTCCATTATCCCATGTGTCAGAACACCTGGACCTAACCAAATAAAGTTTTACTTGGATAAATTCTAAATGATACCAAACAAATTTAAGTGAAGTAAAGTTTATTCATATAAAATTATGTTTACTTTTATAAAATAAACGGTAGGTTTAAAAATATTCTTTGGTTATTTCAAATTCTAATGCCAAAATGCTTAAGTGGAAAAAAAGAAAAAAAATGTGTAAGAAGGCAAGGGGATAATTTCTTAACAGTGTCTTAGATTGCAGCTTCTTTTCCATATCTCGTAGAAATATCTTAGTCCTTAGAGTCATATAGAATGTGTGATTTAACTCAGTAGAATCTGTGACACTGAGCCAATTGTTAATCTCTGAGTGTCATTTATCTTGTAGAAGTAAATGAATTAATATATTGCCTGTCACCTATTCTGTAATTAAATATCCCTCTCCTCTGTGTTCTATTTTGAACCATTTATATGGGTACAACTATATATTATTATAGAGATTAAACA